TCTGATAACCAAGCAACCGTCATCAATTCTTAATGATTAGAGCTAACTATTGGCCAATGATATATGAAAGGAGATTTACATTTATGCATTTACTTTGGTAAACTGAATAATTAAAAAACATAGAAAAAGTTTGTAGCGTTAAAAATCGTGATTTTAGTAATTTTATTTCGGCCATGAGAAAGTAGTAAGCTTAATACATAGCAATGATAGACGCTAATTCCATGTGTTTTCTTTTGTTTTACTTTGGGTGTTAGTCATTGATATGCAACTTTGTTTCACGGGCCAAGTAAGGTCCCATCCAGACGTATCCCGTTATTTTTGAATACGGAAATTTGATTGTCCACACGTAGCATTTATGGATCGTTTTCGCTAGCGTACATACACTATCCATTTTTCAAGACAAGGCCACTATCCGCAAAGAAAAAGAAAAAATCTATTGTCTATAATATTCGGAAATGTTAGAATCTAAGACTCTAACACAAAACCCTTTTGTGATTTCATGGTTCTCTCCATGTCGTATTTATCCCATAAAGACCCGAACACCTGACTTCCATGCCAAGTCTCCTACAAAGCCTTTTTCAAAATATTGATCCAAACAAAATGCAAACAAAAACAACAGGACACATTTCTGTAAATCCTAAACCAAAGTCAACATTTTTATCGCGACGAAGAAGACAAACAAATTTACAAAATCGATCGAAGAGGAAACTACAAATTATATTAAAAAWTTTTTATTAGTTTGCTGCAAGAGAGCATAAATAAGAGAGGGAAACTTCTTTGCAACCATGAAGAAAAAATATAATAAGCATAATAAATAGCAAAGATAGCCACTAATAGAGGCTTTGCACTATCACGTGATGACAGCCATGACATGAGGAATTTGACGTTATCTGATTGACATGGGACAAAGAATTCAGTTTCCCAGAGAAAATGATTCTATTAGAGAGTTTTAGATTGACTTTTTTTTCTCCCCGCAAACGGCAAACGTGATCACGTTTTTATAGTTTTCCTGTATTTTACTTTACCTTTTGCAAACCTTCTCACCAAGCGCAAATACTCTTTTGTTTTTCTACTACTTGGACTTTAATTTTTTCAGTAATTTAAGAGAATTTTTTACTGGTCAACTGACGTTTCACGTTTGCCGTGAACGTAAATCTAATATAATAGAGAGTTTTAGATTTACGTTCACGGCAAACGTGAAACGTCAGTTGACCAGTAAAAAATTCTTTTAAATGACTGAATAAGAGTCGCAAAAAAGTCCAAGTAGTAGAAAAACAAAAGAGTAATTGCGCTTGGTGAGAAGGTTTGTAAAAGGTAAAGTAAAGTAAAGGAAAACTATGAAAACGTGGTCACGTTTGCCGTTTGCGGGGAGAAAAAAAGTCAATCTAAAACTCTCTAATGTTGTGCCTCCTCTCATGACTGCATTCCCGCGATGGTGCAAAGCCTCTATTCCATTGTTTTCTTTTCTTAGTGTCACGTGATCAATTCTTAACCAAATCGGCAAATAACAAGATTTCCTCCATTTCTTTCTTTCTTTTTTCCTTCTCCTTTTCTTTTTCTTTTTTTCTTGGTAGCTGTAAATAAAACTTTTCTTTTTGTAGTAATTCATTTTCATACAATCTCCTGCATGAAAATAAAATACACTTTAAAAACGATTAAAAAATAGAAGTTCAAAAATCATTAATTTGGACCATTTAGAAAGGACATGCGTGAAAATACTTTTACGAAGGAAGAAAGTCCAAGCCACCATCTTGCAAACACAACACACTTTCAATTATGAGTTCAAGTCTTTTGAACCTTGAACTCCCGAAAAAACTTGATCAAAATGTTCCTTAGGTTGAGGAATTTATTTTTTGGAAACTCCCTTTGCTCTTCCTCGATCAAGTCAAAAAAATATTTAGTGTGGTTTTTTGGAACATTTATTTCAATTTGATTGTTTATCTAGTATAGATGGCGACTTTTTCACAACCAAAAAAAATTGTACTAAAAAGATGAAAACTGTTAAAAAGAACTTTGAGCAAAGTATGTTTGTACTTGTTTTACATAACGATCTTTTGGTGTTATGATGGATGGTAGCGTGTGAGTGGATGTCTCGGTGACGCGATGCCCGGGGCGGGACGCGATGTTTGTACCGCCAGTACTCTACACGCTTAGACAAGTAATCCATTTTGTCTCGTGTTGATCATGAACTAAATGAACTAATTCAAATTGGTCAAAGCTGTGCTCCGGGGTCATACATGGACTGTATAGCGGCTGCCAGAGGCTCCTTCACATAATTTCAGTTCGATCCCGTTGAGCTGCGCCACTGCTGTACTTGCGGTGGTGATAAGCGATGACATATTCAATGAAATCCTTAATTTTATAATAACTTACAAATTTCTTGCGCGCTGATTGGTTATTTTTTATCATCAATAAGAGGACAGACAGATAAAGCTGACGTCAACGAGCGCGCGCTCTTTCCCTTGGTTGTTTTGATCGCTAAAAATGAGAAGTTTTTATCGTTTTTGTTATTATATTGTAAAAAAACAAATAGACATCAGTTTTTTATGTGTCTGTCCTCTTATTGACACACTACTATATACACACTACTTTGACAATGCGATGACGCAATTTATCGTCAATAATAATGTATATTTGTTACCTGCGTGAACTCGGGCTTCATGAAAGAAAACTTTGTGGAATGTGCGAAGACTGATAGTAGGCGCACAAGTGCGTGAATAACCGCCGTTTGCATTACTACGCGGACACCTCAGACAAAAATCTGGTCATGTAGTTTGCAATAGATAATACTCCGTCTATAGTACCATCATGTAGAACTAAAGCTACCTCTACTCCACGATCATCAACTGTTGTTGATAACTCTTGTGGTGTTATGTAATAAGCCTTTTTATAGTTTAAGAATCGATTCCACTGCGCATGCGATTTTATCCCGAATTTCTCACCTTCTTTTGTCTAAACCTTCTTTTGTTCTTAATTAAACAAAAGAAGGTGAGAAATTCGGGATAAAATCGCATGCGCAGTGGAATCGATTCTTAAACTATGAAAAGGCTTATCATTTAAACTCAAATTATGAAATAATTGATTAGCATAATAATGCACATATTGATCAACTTGATATACTCTGTGGTATACTGCTATAGGTTAACGATCACGTGTAAACATTCTGCTACTAGAACTTATAATAAACATACTGGGAATAACGAGATGTGGTGTTTTTCTGTAATGTTTATTGTCACTTCTATATCATTACATACATATACAGTCAAATTATTAGTTTTCTCTAAGATATCACAGTCACTAAACGATGAAATATTACCATTGTGAATATAAACGTCAATGTATAAAATACTGAGGTTAATAATTACATAAACTAGTAATCATCATCAAGATAGCAAAATAATGACTTTTCAGCGTAAAAAACATTGTAATAAGAACCAATAAGATAAAACATATATTTTCGAAACGATTAAGAAAGCATTACAGCACATTGTGAGTCACATACCGGTGTGTTTACGCCTTCGCTTACGTATTTAGTAGTTCTTTTTCTTTGTTTATCAGCAAAGCCGTGTGGAAATTCAGCAGTTGAGTCCTTCGTAAGGTCAAAGTTTGGATAAGATTTATAAGATAATTGGTATGATATGGATGATGATATTTTTTCTTCCTGTCGGTAGTTAAATTTCTTTGACGTTTCTCCTCCCTCCATCACATTTGTACATACGAAATCACATTTAGATAACAAATTTACGTTTAAATAACAAGCTTTTCTGAGATTTTCAGCGGCCGTAGCCGCTGTTTTCGTATTATTACTTCCAGTCTTGCCTACATCTTGTTTAAATCTGTCATTATATTTCTCGCTCAGGCGTATGTGGCATGGCGCGCCAAAACATCATAACAAAGCAACAACCAATCAAAATTTCGAGGATCAAGTAAACCAATCAAAACCTTTATTTGACCAGCCAACGCCAGGGTCTTCTCTCGTCTGCGTGAGAGGGCCCTGGGAACGAGGTTGGCTCGTAAGGTGTTCTCTCATCATATGTCCCAGGCGTCCCTAACTGGCGTTAAGTGCGCATGCCTGCTTTTTGTAGACGAACATGGAAAATACGACGAATAATAACGGGCGTTTTATAACTCGGACCTTCCTTCGCAAAGAAGCCCGAGTAATTACATATATAGTTTATATATAGTATATATAGTCAGTTCTCTTGACAAATGCATTAATAATTCAATTCATTACTGTTGCGTGTGTGGATCGGAAATCTTCGCATAAATCGATGAAGTTCAGAAGTCGTGTCCATATTTGCATATTTTACTTGTTTAGAGCGCAAACGACAAGGCATAGGCCTTAGTAGCTGGTCTTCCTCTCTCTCCATCAGTGCTCTCACTGATTTAAGAGTATTGAAAGCTGAAGCTACTTGCCCCAAAGTCCGCGCACTAACCAAATGAGCCACACCTGCTTTTCTGACTAACTGATGAGAGTGTGAATAATTGTTAAATATAGATTAGCAAACCTTGCGCGCACAGGACACTTTGTAAAGCAGTGTTAGAAAACAGCATTAACTACAATCTTTTGTTTCTATTGTAAATAAAACAGAAAAAAACCCAGCTTTTTCTGTGACACGTCCAGTAGTACAACGCCAAAAGCACTCGAGAAGTGTCAGAAGTGCTCGCCTTCGGTTCGTGCTTCTCTTCACACTCCTTTCGTGCTTACGTCAATTCCTGCGTGCTGTATTGCTAAACAGAGCACAGAAAAAGGATCTTTTATCTGTTAAATAAATTCCAGGCGGATTACTTGAGACTTAGTAAAAAGGTTTATGAAATTACGATGTGCACTGGTGCAAAATTCGAGGGTTCTGCTCTCTTTGCAGCGAATTCATAAGCATGCATTTCGAAAAAAATGAAAGGTTACTATGGCATTTCAGTCAGCGGTTTTTGTGCTCAAGTATGTTGTCACAGTCACCTTAAGGGAATGGTTTGCCACAAACAAAGTAACTTAATCGTGTGCAGTAATTGTCAAACCACTTCCCGTTCTTCTTCACTGCAACACATCTTGGACCATAAGAGGGAGGAGCTTCTAGAAAATAAGGCAACGCCATGTTTTTGGTGCTTGTCCCATCACTCCACTTGAAGGTGCTGCTATCATTCAGGGCATTGAGACCAATCCAAAAACTACCTTGTTGTTCATAATCTATAGACACAGTAATAATAGAGGTGTTCATAGGTTACACAGGTATGACTGTAAACAGGTTACGACACATTTAAACATACATGGTGATACAAGGGCGGATCCAGGGTTTTTGAAGGGGGGGTCTCAGGGGTAAATTTTGTGGGCAAAGGAATCCCAGTTGCATTTTTACCACAAGAAGCCCATTTGACCTCAGGAATGACAGGGGGGTCGCGACCCCCCCGACCCTCCCCCTGGATCCGCCCTTGGTGATATATCTTCTTGTACTAGTACTCGTATTTCCCCCAACATATTTACTACTAAAGGTTAATATCTCCATGCAATCAACAAAGAGTAACTTTGTAGGCTGAAGCATATCAAAACCGATAACTGTCTGTATATCTGTCTGTCTTTCTGCGTGTCTGTCTGTGTTTCTCTATTCTCAGAACAATACGTACGGCGTTCCTCAGATCTTTTTGCCTTATTTTGATTAATGTTATATTGTTTGGGGTAATTGTCATAAAGGACTATCCGATAGGCTCCAAAAACTACAAAATCGCTCAGCTAGAGTTATCACTCAATCAAACTATGATGTAAGATCGGCTGATATCCTCAAATCACTCCATTGACCGGATAAACTTGTTGAAAGACGGACCAAGCATAAGGCTTGTATGATGTATAATATAAGGAATAATGTTTCACCTTCATATCTTATACCTGATTAGAATATAGTGAAAGACACTACACAATATAATTTAAGAGAAATGGAATTTAGATTAACGCTTCCGAAACCAAACACTGACTTTTTATCTGTCTGTCTGTCTTTCTTTCGGTCTGTCTGTCTTTCGGTCTGTCTGTCTGTCTATCTGTCTGTCTGTCTATCTGTCTACCTGCCTGCCTGCCTGCCTGTCCGATTAAGCCCATCGGGACTGAAAAAATCTAATTAGATGCTTCCCAAAGCACTGACTTTGTCAATATACAACGACCATTGCAACGTACATAAATATGTAAGTATAAGAGTCAAGACCAATCAAAGACTATGTACTTATTGACTGAGTGGGAGGGCCGTACGGGAAAATATTTGGCTCGAGGTCATGCCGTACGGAGCGAGCGCAGCGAGGTCCGTACAAATGACCGAGAGCCAAATATTTTCCCGTACGGCCCGACCTAACTCAGTCAATAAGCATTTTATCATATGACCCTCACGAAAATAAAAATAATAAAAAAAGAAAGCGCGCGGATTCGAGCAGGGCCGGACGGGTTTTTCCGGCCCGCTTACGTCAACCCGTCCGGCCCCCATCACGTGACTTTTTCCAATGGTTTTATTAGAGCGCGCGAGCAGGGCCGTACGGGTCATATGATAAAAACACTTACTCATGGCTTCTTGTATCTCCTGATCAGTCATACTGTTATTGAAGACCATTAAATGTCTCACGTGACCAACCAATGCTTTGTTAGAATAGACGTGAGGCAAAGCGGTCCCCAAAACCCCAAAGTGATAGGTTGTGTGGGTTGTTGGTGGGATAGGTATAAACGTCTTCGTGGAATCCTGTGTCCCGTTTAACACAATCCTGATCGTTGCTTGTGCCTTTTTCCATGTTACAGCAATGTGGTTCCAACCATTCATGTCAATACTATACAATCAAATATAAGGAAGAAAGCTGATTAGTAATATCGATATACAATATATTTAACAAGCATGATATAAACCAAAGTTTGTTTTGGAGAGGTCGAGAGCTATTGTATAAAACCTTGAAACTTCTCACAGACTTTTCCGGTAGTTTATATAACTTATCCAGCTATCAATCCATCCATATTTTAAGGCTTCCAATTTTCTCACTCATACACCAACTTCAATAAATAGTAAACGCAGTCCCTTATGTTCAGAGTTTATCTGCACATTGTAGTTTAGAGCTGGTATCTTCTATGCTGGGTCACAAGTGATTTGTTAACACACCTTGCATAATACGATGTCATAGCACTCCCGTCCTCCTGTTTGTATATTTCAAAAAGTAGAGAGTTATGGTTCCTAGATAGGGTTAAGCGGAAACACTTCGGAATAGCCCAATCACTGTATACATTTTCTGCGTTATTTGTACTGTTTTTACCAGGCTTGAACCACAACATGAACGTGTATCCCTCGGGATTCATCACGACTGCCGGGACTTCTGCATAGCCTTTGAGTCCAGGAAAGTAAAGTGCTTTTTCTCCATCGACCACGTCGTACCTTGGGGTAGGGGTTCCCTTCAACCTATAGGACAATAAAAATGGCTTAGTTGACAGCCTGCTATAGACGTCATATATTTTTTTCATCCAACTTTACTACTCTGATTAGGAAAAAAGTCTTACGGGTCTAGGAACCAATTACAAGGCGAACGATAGATCGAATTAGAATTTGGAAGTTGATTTTTGTGGAGGGAGGATAACCGGAGAACCCGTAGAAAAACCCTCGAAGCACAGGAGAGAACCAACAAACAACTCAACTCACATACTACCCAGGAGAAAACCAACAAACAACTCAGCTCACATACAACAACAAGCCTGGCGGGGATTAAACCAGGGCCGCATTGGTGAGAGGCTAGCGAGCTTACCGCTACGCCACCCGTGCTTTCTATATAGATGAATCATAATGTGATCCAAGTGAAATCCTAAAAGCTCTTGCGCATGCATTTGAATACGGAGCCGTGAGCGTTTTTATGAAGTTTACACAAATATTTTTTGTCATGTGGCTACCACTTTAATGTCTTCACAGGTTCGTTACTTACACGACGTCTCCATCGGTTCCTTCAAGTGCCCAGTATTTCAACAAGTCTGGTAAATCATTCCCTGGTAGTGCTATGCAAAGGAAAATGTTGTCGAATGTTAACATCTAAGTCATTTGATTGGTCAGTCTGTTGGTTCTTAGTAATTATTGAGTTATAGATATGTAGATATGTCGGTCAGTCGTTTGACTGGTCAGTCGTTTGACTGGTTGGTCGTTTGACTGATTGGTCGGTTGACTGGTTGGTCGTTTGACTGGTTGGTCGTTTGACTGGTTGGTCGTTTGACTGGTTGGTCGTTTGACTGGTTGGTCGTTTGACTGGTTGGTCG